CAGCGTTGAACCCTGTGCAGCGGGACACGCTACAGTACTCAACACACCACGCTGAAGGATCCCACTTTGTTGAGCTCACGAGAAGTACGCGTATTGCACGGTGTTGAGAGGTAGTCGCAAGTTTATGCTTGAACTTTGAAGTATATTAATTTCTGTCTGTGTGATTATTGTACGTGTACATGAAAGAAGACTCGAAAATCTAGTTCTGTGCGGAATAACGCTTGCGTGTTGAAACAAAGGAAGAAACACAAACTGTAGACATTCACTGTTTAAAATTCCACAACAACGACAATCGGGGGTGGATCCAAGATTTTCCCAATGCGGGGGGGGGGGTGATCCCGGATTTTCCAAAGGGGGTGGGTGTTAACAAAGGCAGCAAAGGTAAGATGCCCGTGAGAGCGTAGCGCGAAGCCCTTACAGCATAGGATCCTGGGCATTTTTTTTATTCTAGGCCGCTCTGTGGTGCAATTTCAGGCAGCATGACTCCTCTTATTTCTTCTCCATCTCTATTCTTCTTCTGTTTGGAATTAATTTATTTATTTATTCATTCAGTTTCCTGGGTGAAAAAGGGGGGAGTGCGATATCCACGCCCCCTGGATCCACCCCTGAAAAAGGGTCTAACCAAATGCCAGTGCGCACCGAGGACGTCATCACTACATGAATATTCATTGAAATCCGGTTCGTAAGTGTGACGTCACTTCAGTTAGACCACGTCCACTGCAAATGCACTGCACATGGAGTTACGTGCATTGATTGCTGTTCACATGGAACCATGGAACTGGAACTTAATGAACAACTTCAGTGATTGTTCAGTGGGAGCCTGCTAAATCGTTTCGCGCTCATGTGAATGACGAAGTAACTTACGAACCGGATACCACCGCAACAGATAACTATTGGTTGTTGGTAGACAATAGATCGTGATATAGTACAAACACGCATGCGCCGGATTGCAAGAAGATAATCAGTGCTCGCTTTGGTGCATTACTCATGAGCGATGTGCCCCAGGGGGTACGTTACGTTGATTTCTCCAATGGTAGAAAGTTTCGATTCCACCACGTTGTATCGGCGTGACCCTGGGTGCAAGGTTGTGTAACCACACTTGTACTGCGTCAGGCCATGATGTGTATGAAATGTGCTATAGGAGACACTGAAGCACTCTCGTGCGGTTCCAAAAACCAAGATTTGAATTCGATTTCCGTATCTGCACGAAGAAAAGCACGAAATATTCTGCGTGTGTGGTAATACGGCGTACAAAACACCGTGGGCCCCTACACGGCAGAAACAATTGTAGAATGTGCATATCTTATTTGTACGCAACTTTGTTGACACTTGGTATTGTTCATATGAACTCTACCCAGTGAGTGCTCGACACAAAAACTATGTCATGCATTTGCCCTTAATCCCTGAATAATAAGAGTGGGAACAAGCGAACCTGCTCTGTGGCAAAGTGACCTCTCTTGTTCACTCAAGGACTGCACGAATAAGAAAAGCCAACTGACTGCTCAAATGCTTTGCCAAATGACAATCCTGTAAATGTAAATTACTAATGGATAAACTAAATATGAAAACATTAACAACAACTTCAGGCAAAAAGACGCTTTCTTTCTTTCCAAAACACAATTCATTGCAGTCTTATTAAAGACAAACACAAGACAAGAAAAACCTACAAAAAGAAAAATCCGGACAAAAAGCTACCAAAAATCGCCTACATTGTTTTCAACGACACAAAGACCAGATATTATTGTTTTTTTTATATTCTAAAACAGTGATAGAACTCGAACACGTGTAGAGAGAATTTGTACGTTAGAAATACAGATATCTCTACGTCCAGCGCGTCTCCGCGAATTGTTTAACAGAGCAAAGCCCTAGACCTTGCTCTAGACAACAGACTCGGAAGCTGCCTTGGTTTCATAGTGTGGTTGTAGATCGTTATCCACATGATAGCGATGCTTCTTGAGACAAAAACCCTCTCACTATAACATGGCGCACCACTATTGTATAGCACATTGGGAATCGAGCCTGTCGTTAATATGATGGGATTTCTTCTGCCAGGAGCCCAATATCTCAGAAATATCAGATTGCCCAGTTAACAACAATTATGTTATTGCTCACGTCTGTAACTGATCGATGTAACTTATTAAAACCCAGGACAAGGCTAATCCTCATGATCATAGCTACCCCAAAACAGACCTTATGAAACGTAGCATGCGTATATAAAGCAAGTATCATAAATACATATGGAATGTTTCCAGAGGTTTGTTATGGCTTTTATTCGTGTCACACAACTACATCAAGATTGGTCCTTGGAGCAGGAATATCATTCAGGCAGTAAAATGCTTTGCTACAAGCTTGCCTGCTATACATTATAATCTACGCAAGGTATACATAGCAGACAGGCGGCATTATTCAATGTCATAAAGACAAAAGAAGGAAAAAAGGGCTGGCCTAACTTGCCCGTGTGTGTAAAAAGATTCGCACCCAGGAGTTTAAATCCTGTGGTAAACTTTAAAATATGTGGTGAATTATGTATTCATATTTTTGGGTTTAGTGTTTATTTTTCTTTAAATTTGTTTTCAGTTTTTTCCCTTTCGAAAAAAAGTTCTGACTTGAAATAAATTCGATTTTCTCTTGTAATTGTAGCCCCCTGAGCGCGTCTCGTCGACATAGGTTTCAAGCTATGCTTGACACACAATGTGACTTACAAACCTACGGCTTGTATTACCATTCTAATTGAGAAGCCCTAAAAACCTATTATTAACAAGATCAGTACAGTCAGTGGGGAAAATGTTCCTTCGGTTCTAACGTTTACAGCAAACACGAGACTTGAATCTTCAGTTCCTGAAACCCCTTCAAATATAGCACGTTCCGGTCCGTTACCAACGAGGTGATCGCAACTCCTCATTCCTTCCATGAAAAACCCGAACACATCTTGACAAAAGTCTCCCCTTGAAAACTACTAGATCCGCTAATGTTCTGTTCGCGCCGGCGAAGCAATGTCACTGCACATGCAAGAGTAAGCATCTGTGGTCACGTGATCAACAGGAACAAGACTTAATGGCACAAAGTGACTAGTTATTGTAATGTCCATAAAAGAGGTTGGATGCATTTGGCTGTGCAAGGATCCATACTTCTTGTTGGGGAAATAGTGCGAAGGCATTAGGCAAAATAGGCATTAAGCAGCACGGAGGAGACATTAGCACTCCGTATCTTTAAGACCTTCGTGGGAATTGTCGGCATCTTAGGCAACGGTCTGGTGTGCGGAGTCATCGGTAAGGTTTCAGAGATGCAGACTCGCACCACCGCCTTCATCTTTCACCAGGCTGTCGTAGATCTACTCGGTGCAACCATAATTCTCCTGAAAAAGCGAAGCGCCGCTGCCGGACCCTGTGCCAAATGACGCACTAAGGTGGATAGTATGCCAAGTCTGGTTTTCCAACTTTGTACTTTTTCTTCTGTATGTAATATACNACATTCAACTTGCTGTCACTGACCATGGAGCGATATTTTGCCATCGTTCACCCGTTCAAGTACCAGAAAGCCTTCGCCAACCATCCCCGGCTGAAAGTCGGTGCAGTCATGGCGGGATGTTGGGTGTTCGCCGCGGTTATCAAGTGTTATATCCTAACCACCTTCGAGACATGGAAGACGACGCGTGTGTTTCAAGTGCTGAGTATCGGTCGAATGTCACAGGGAGTTCGATAGCCATCCTTCAGTATGTGGTGCCCGTGGCAGTGATGCTGTTTGCGTACATTCGCATCGGTGTAGAGCTCAAGCGAGGAGCTGCTCGGGTTGGACCTGCACCAGCGGCTGCCAGCGGTCCTGCTACCGGAGCATCCGCAGCAGATACCGCCCAACCGGCAGGCATGGTGGAATCCCTGCTCCGGGCCAGACGCAACACTTTCAAGATGCTATGGATCGTGTTCGTCATGTTCCTAGTGTGCTGGACTCCGAACCAGGTGATCTTTCTCATGTTCAACCTCGGCTGGACGCTGCAGTACGACGAGTGGTACTACCTGCTGTCTGTGGCGATGGTAGCCGCAAACTGCTGCGTTAATCCGGTCATCTACGCCTTCAAATATCGCCAATTCCGTAAGGGCTGCGGGAGGTGTTTTTCCGCGCACGTATAAACCGCGAGAACCCGTTAAATTCAGCAACATTCACGCAAACAACACGATGAACTTCACAAAAGCATTCTTTAATCGTTACATCGTTTCCCTCGGAAATCTGAAAACAATGCATTTTGCAGGCTAGTCAATCTAAGGACAAAAGGCTAGTTGTGAGTAGGTATGTGAATCGGGGACACCAACAAATAACCAAATCAAGAACTTGACGAATGAACAACAGCACGAATGCTCCCCCAGCATATAGTTGATATAAATGACACCGCATCGACTGTTCGATTAAACGGCTCTCCAAGGTCATGCCGTTCAGCGTATGGTGCTCTCGGATACTTTCACCGATGTCTGTCTTGTAGCATGCATAGTCTGTGCAAAAACTTGGAAGGGAACTAAATTTGGGTAAAAAACATTTTGTTTTGAAGAACAGTAATGGGCACGTTCGTTTGGACTTCCGTGTATACCCCGGGTAATCCATACATAGTACCCACGAAAGGAAGAATGAATAACCTTATTTCAAAGAGTCAGGAATTAAAATACATAGTTTTGTCTGTTGTTGAGGTTGCACATCTTATTAAAGCCCATTTCCTCATCTTTTATTTCATCTTCGGTTTTTGATAGGTTAACCCAATGACGTTTTACGATATTGCCACCCAAAGGCAATCAACTCAAAAACAGCCGTTAAGCTCCTCGCCATTTTGAAAATCGATGCCAACACTCCGTCACAAGGTGAATTGTAGTTGGGAGATAACTCTTCTGAGTTTCGTCGTATTCGTTATATATTTGTATGGTTTTTGTGAGAATACAATTCCATTTTATGCCCAACGTATTGGAAGTGTAACTTTAGTACTCCTTTTTATGCCAAGTGTATCGAACGTAACAAGTCTTTGTGTACGTTTTGGGGTTGGCGAGCCCCTGTTACTATTATTATGTAAATTACCAACGTATTTATTTAGTGTCATGTGCAATTATTTTACGGGGATTTCAGTTTTATCTAAGGACAACAATTAAAGATTGGGGATAGCCAGTCGTGGTGTGCTTGTCTTCTTTATTTCATTCATGCATGGATGCAAGGACACTCACGCTCTCTTCCTGGATGTGACCGCACGGTCCCTTCGATCCCAAGGGACGCTGCCACTTAGCGTTGCCTGTGACCTTACATTACGATACCGTATTTCTCCTCTGTTTTTTTCTGAACAAGGATTCTCCACACCATTTTTCAATGTGGCACAACGCATGACCTTGAAAGCTGGTATGAACATTAATGCATTTGCCGTGAATTCCCTAGATTCGTTTGTTTTTCCTTTTTTTGCTTTGGCCTGGCATATTGCCCTGTTTTTGTTTTTTGTTTTGTTACGGCCAGTCAAAATTAATGTTTGCCAAATAATCTGCCGGCAAAATCTGTGCTTGTGGTGTAGCACATACAGAAAGATCAATGCCTGGTAGAACCAAAAATCATGTGACTCGTCGTCACGTAGGCATAACCAGCTCACAAAGAGAAGCATCTTCAAATGCTATGTCAAGAGAGGTGCACTTTCAAAAATATTACCGGGAAATTCAAGAATTGAATGACAGGACTTTAAAAAATTGAGCATTAATTAATTAGCAGTCAGGTATCCGTTTTCGGCTACAAATTCCCATTATGAATCATCAGTGGCGTGCCTATCGGGGGCGGGGGGGGGCAGGGGGAACTTCTCCCCCTCCCCATGGATTTGTTTTTTCAAATTTATTTGTTTTTGATGTTTTTGTGATTTTTTTTCGACTGAGATACTTCATAGTTGAGTACGAAAGACATTAATCGGTGTAATTCTTTTGAAATAATTACGCTATAATTTGTCTCCCCATTATCATATGTTAAATGAAAATGCATTTGCTCTTGATTTGCCCCCCCCCCCGACCGAAAAACTGGATACGCCACTGTCAATTATGTAAATTTGTTTTTAATGACGCCAGGGACTGATGAACAAACTTCGCATTCACCTCTGCATTTTTACATTAAGCAGGATTCTATTTCACTTAGAAGCCGACCTTGAATAAATCGCCTACATTATACCTAACCCGCTATCGGGCGAGTGCAGTTAATTGCGTTCAAAGACATTTGCATACGTTTCCATAGAAATGTATGTACTTCACCGTGTTCAGGATGAGTGTCGATGACGTAGCATGGTCTGCATGGGTCTATAGCTTAGGCCCAAGTTAATAGTGTTAACTAGAATTTAAACAGCGCTTGGGATAGGTTGTTCTCGGCCTTTGCTTTCTTATTTCCTATTCAGTGTGTTGGTATGATATCGAGCATTTCACGAAATGTTGAGGGCGCAAGGCATTGCAACGTAATTTGGAAGTTGACTGCCTTAATTAACCAACTAAGGTTAGAGGCATTAACGATTGGTCGAAACGAATGGAAGGGATGCAATTACAGAATCTGCGTGAACAGGAAAGTGGAACAACCGTCTGTACTTTTGACTTCTTAAATATTAATTTATAGAGAACTATTGTTTTTGTTTTAAACTTACACTCAAACAATGGTTCTAATGATCATAAATGATTATAATGAATGCACATCTAACCTTGTAAAGTCATCCCGAGAAACGATACAAATGTGTTAAGAAATTGTGCAAGTCTGTGGGTATCACGGGAATACCAAGGATTATTCCGTGCTAAGTTTGTCTCATAATTCCAAGACGATGGGTGGGTCGCTCTTCAACTCCATACGTTATATGTCTGTCTATGCCGTCGTGCTTGATATTACTGTCACATCACGTCCAACACTGGTGCAACATGAACATTCGACTCCACGAAGGAGGGACTCAGTGGCAGTAGCGCGCCTGATTACTGGACAGGATAATTAATCCGCGTATGCTACTGGAATTAAGGCTGTCGTTAAGGCGAGTCCAAATTCCACACTACATGTATTTCCAACGTTGTTTGGTGTGTTTGTTGGTAACAAATAACTGGCAAACTTTCGCCCACTGTAAGTAACTCATCTGCGTGTTTATTTTGAAAGCGAAACACGAGGGCTATCTGAAATACCTTTTGTTTCCACACAAAAATGTGCCGTTGTTGCACTGGAATCACGGCTTAATGCAGAGGCTTCCGATTTTGTGGTGTGCTGATGGTGGGCTCTACTTGCGTTTTTGACCATTTCTATCGTGCTAAACGTGAATCCGTGATTTCACTGTGCTTACCTTTTACAGTCTTGGAAGGTGAGTGCTAAAGTAAAAGATTTTGATTTTATAATTGTGGCCGGACGTGGGATTCTAGGCCACCCCTGGTAGTGGGATGGTAGGTCCATCCTCCAGTGATAGAAGATGAGGCACTCTCCCTTGACTGATTCCCCCAAAGAATTCAGTCGGAAACCGGATGTTGATTTAATTGATTGATTGATTTAATTATTATTTGTGGCTTTCATCTCATCAGCTTCTTTCGGTAAACATTTCCCTGTATGCCAAATTGTTGCATAAGTGGTTACAACCAAAGATATTTATTGTATACAAAATACAACACATTTAATACACTTATACATCTAGTGTACACAATGTTGTAAAAATGTCAAGTTGAAACATTGTATCAACACTTTGTGGTAAATAATTACCCTGGTGTTGTGGCTTACCAGTGATGTAGCCTAAAGTGGTGCAGGAACCCTGTGGCAGGCAAGTTCCCCAAAAGCTTGAGCTAATGCAAACATAATTCACAAAAGTGGCATGATAAATAATATTCTTAACTACAGGGATTGTAGAACTGCAGTATGAATACTTGTATAGAATGCACACCGCATAAAATATAGACAGCGTACCCCATCTTGTAAGTAAGCACGCTATGAAAGCAATGGCCGCGCGACCCACCGATGCGAGTCGTACGCAGCCCCAAGCTCCATACACAGCGCGGTGTTGCACACACGAGGCTTACAGCGCACACCACGTCCAACGTAAATGTAACGTAAAGTGCTTTGTGTGTATACATATACATGTGTATAACGTATGCCACACAGCAATCTATCGCAGAAGAATCCCCAACAATATGATCATAAAACCACTCAAAAAGTGAATCAAAATCCCACTATCCTTATGTATAAGATCAACTGACATGCTCTATAATGATCAGCAGTTATGATGATGATAAGCCCTGTGAGGGTACTTAACCACAAAAAGTACAGAAAGTGAAGAATTTTGGAGCAAAACTTTCTTACCTGGGCGTTGCTCGATCAGCAGCGAAATGGCCGCACCCGAGAAAGTTCTCGAACGACCAACGCCCACAGCCATAAGGCACTGTTCATAGCGAGGATCCCGGACATATTGCTCCGCCATTCATAAAAAGTGTAAATGCGGATCATTCCAAACCCAAACTAAGGTAACGCATTGGAACTTCCCATGGAACACTAGCAAAACAATGTTTACAATTAGTTAATTTATAATTGAATGTCAATTAAGGGGTATAACCTTAATTGGGACATAAATCGTGATTCCAAAAGGACTGTTTGTTATGGTGGATATTCAGGCTTATGTCATGGAAAGTGTAGAGTGGTTTTCGGGCTGCATAATTATTAGATGAATAGTTTTCCATGCGATAAATTAGAACTACAAAGTACAGGTCACTACATAATTAAAATAGAACAGAGAGTTCGGTCGAAGCCAAAGACGCCCTTTAGTAATGAAGGACGCCCTCTCTTTCTGCGTTACAATGTGCTCTTTTGAGTGTCCTGATCCCCCAGGTCATTGGCGTTATCCTGAGGGTTGGGGTATCACCCCACTTTTTGTAAGGGGATGGGCTATTGAATCATTCCCCCACACACTTTCTGTGGAGAGCAAAAAAATTAAAGTGCATTGTGAGGAATTTTTTAGACTTCTAACGGCTAAAACATTCCATATCACTTAAAAGGAAAACTGTTAACAAGCCATAAATATGCCATTTTGAATACTTTACAGATGTAGATCAATAAAATGAACATCGACCTCTATAAAGATTCATATGGTGTCCCACCCTCCCCTCCTCCCGGCTTTTAAAATTCCGGCACAAATTTCACGCAAATCGCCCTAAGTCTCAATTTATAAGTTCCAGCGTCGTTGGTCGAAACAAATACAGAAAATAAAAGTTTAGTTTTCAACTCTTTAAAAACTGACACGGGAGACAGCACTAGGTGGTAATCTATGTCATTTGTTTCGTTCAACCGCAACAAACATGGGAATTACACAATTAATGTTTGGTGCAGTACCCTTTGCTCACACGAGCCTTGGCTAGCCGGCCTGGTAAGGTCTGTGATCGAGCGGCAAGACATCTTCACTAGTCAGCATGAAGTCGTTGTGGGTTCGAGACCCACTCGAGTAAGCTTGTGAATATTTTTGAAGCCTTGGGAAAACACTGAGCATGTCGGCGTGACCTTGGGGGCGAGGTTGTATAGCCACGCTGGTACTACGTTTGGTCTTGTAATTATATGAAATGTGATGTGGTTCCAAAAACAAGTTTGAAATTTGATCTCTATGAATTGATTTGATTTCATCCCAGCCCCTTGAGTATTAAGAGTGGGAACGAGCAAACCTACTGTGTGGTAAATTGTCCACTTCTTTCACTCAAGGACTCCACGCCGGCAGAAGAAAAGCCAACTGACCGCTCTAATGCTTTGCCAAATGACCATCCGGAAAGCCCGAACCCTAATATCGTCTTTCTGGCTCGCAATGCAATGCTCTTTCATTTCCAGATCAATTCAACCGTCACAAAATGCTACTTGTATATTGTAACATTCACGTTAGTACCTTCCAGAAGCAACAAGAGTGAGATTTTTGAAGGGGCAGCCATTGCTGCACACATTTTGTTCGGGGGGGGGGCACTGAAGCGAAATGAACTGCAGTTCACAGGTTATGCACATGTTAAAACTTCAAGGGGGAGGCAAGGATTTCCCGGAGTCACTTGTCTTCCCTGTCCCTACTCTGCTTGAACGCTTCAAATGTAGCTACAATAAGCTTTTCTTAAACACAATTTTGCTGCAACTTCGTACTCTTCTTCAATGCATGAAAATTCTTTTACACTCCTATTTCAAAACGGCAAATGCCCTTTAACACAGTGTAACGAGAGTTAAAATAAGGTTTACTGAGACACAAAGGTACATTTTGAAGGTCTGTACTTAAAAAATTGATTGCATCTACCCTTTTACTCCTAAAAGGGCACCACAATAATTTCTGAAAGTTTACCAGAATTCCATCCTCTCAAGGTCTGACAACGCAAAGCGTTGAGAGCAAAGTCACTTTTACTGTTTCCCTTAATGTTGGACAACGGGACTTGAAAATAAACACACTCTAGACGCTGCTAAATAAAACTCGGTTTAAGGACGAGTTCACTCGACATTGCTGCTTTGTTTTGGGTGTTCGGTTAATTATAAATAACACTTTAACCCTGCTACGCTAGAAATGGACGGGGGCTGTGGAGATCTCTGACGCTTGGGTCAAACGTCGTGCTTCTGTCGGAATTAAGTAAAATTTTCAATTTGACGCAGCAGAAGCACGACATTTGACACAGGCCTGACTGTCACACTGTCCAAGCTTCTCACGGTCCTTCCCCCGACCATGGTTATCGGTTGCTTGAATGGTGATGATGATGATGATAAAATGAAAATTTATTCAGTTGAGTGTCAGGGCTAACAAGCAAAAATCTATTTTAATATGTAAGAGCAACGGTTGAGTGATCACAGGAAAGTATAAAGGGTTTATGGTGCAATGTTTTGGGATATTCTCGCTTGCTCGCCACTTTTTCTGACGTATGTGTAAGCCAGGACGACTGTTTCAGGTATAATTAGTGTTGAAAAGTTGAGAACCAGTAAATTTCGTGATCGTGCCATGAAGCTACTGCATTTGGTCTTTACTATAAAAAACACTTAATAACAGAACCGCTCATTCTTGAGCTCAAGTCCCATTTTGTTTCCTTTAGCTTAATATTTTTAAGCTACGCATACAGCGGAAAACTAAAAACCCAAACCTTTTAGCACGCGATCTTCAGGGTTTAATGAAAGCGGATTAATTCTTCCATTATCGCAAAACCAAACAGAATCGCTGTGCGAGCGAGGAATATTGAGTTTGAAAATACCAAGGCTGAGTCAATAACTCAATATCAATCGAATTTAACACCGGACCGAAAAGCTTACTATTTATTTGAACTTCCGACTCTGGCTGTACGATTTATCCACAAGCCTTACAAACCTGCTATCGCCCGGGGAGGCCCCTGAAATGCTTTTTTCTCTCTCTCTTTCTTATTATGAAAGAAAGCCGATTTGGGGGATTAAATTAATTTCCCCTCTTCCAAAATCAGTAAAAGATTTCGAAATGTTTTACATCCCCCCCTTGAAAATATCCAGCTGAAAATTTGTTTCTGGATCTGTCCTTGGACATACTACATTTTATAGATTTAAGCGATAAAATGATTTATACACGGCGAACGCTGTCCGGTCAAGTAACAACGCTGGCATAACATGGAGTGACAGTGAGCCAGATAGGTTGGGCACGCACTCGTGGCTAAACGCCGACTCCTATCAACAGCGTTACACTGCTTATCACTACGTACGCATCACCCATACATTTGAATAAGCAGCCTCCAGCAAGTGACACGTGTCATATGTCTCCATCACTTCCTTCTACTCTAATATAAAAAAACATGCAATTTAGTTAAAGTTTCAATCAGACACACAGACAAAAAAGTGGATTTTCCATAATTTATCTGAAGTTAATAAAATCCGTTTTAAAGGAGAAAAGTCGCGTGCATTATAACTCTAATGAGATGTAATTATTAAAGGGCGCGCACAGAGTGGGCCATTAGGACCCTGAACCAATACACGAAGTTGAAGCACACGGCAGGGAAGCAACAGGGCCTATATTAAGATTTATGACGTCCAGGTTTTGCAATGGCCACTGTTTCAAAAAACCATATTGTTTACTCAAATTCAATCCGATAAAACCAGTGGAAATCGTGATCGAAGCCCAAATTCCATAAAAATACCTGATGATGATATTTGTTTTAATACCAACCTCTCTACTTAAACAATACCATAACAGGCAAATGCAAGCTCCTAAATGGGCTTAGTTCTGAACAAGAACTACAATTTCAGCATTCGATTGACGTCCACGCGTGACTGGATTTACTAGTATGTGCTCGCTACGAAAATTGATGAAATCATATGAGGGTCTCGTGTTTTTGCCTGGTGCTGGTGGGACGCCATCTAGTTAATTTAGTTGTATAGTTGGAATAAGCTTAAGGTCATTTCAAACCAGATTCATTTCAGGTATGACTCACATTACTTTTCGTAAAATTTAATTTAGTTTCCATCTTGTGGCCCTCACTGCGTGTGCGTCTTTGTGTTACCTCCAAAACTGGCTTCCAGAACTTATGGCTACATCTATTGTCGGCGCGTCTCCGCGTATTTTCTTAATACAGCGAAGACCTACACCAACAGCTCTAGACAACCGATTTGGATGTAGCCATGGTTCTAGAGTGTGGTTGTAGGTCGTTACCATCCACATGACGGCAATACTTTGGGATATGAATAGTCCTCTCACCATAACATGGCGCACTGCAACGGTACAGTGGGAATTGAGTGGACTACTCGCAGCCACTAATGACAGTGATGGCATTCCTTCTGCCGGCAGTCAAATATCATCACTATGACCCAGATGCAGGTTGCATTTGCGGTCTGTAAAATATTGATTTAATCCCAGAGTTCCCTTGTTGACTTTGTTTAAACCTTGGGATGACACCAGACTGACCCTCATGATCGCGGCTACCCAAAATCAGATCTTGTAAAACGTACATGCATCATAAATACATGTTGAATGTTACCAAAGGTTTGTTGTTATGGCCGTTTACTTGTATCACGCTGCTGCCTCACGATCGGTCCTTAGTGCATGAATGCCAGTCAGTGAGGATCAGTTACACATTCGTGGAAAGAACAGTATACCCATTTGCATGAAACTGAGTTGCGAATAAAAAGAGGGACGCCAAAATTCTCACTTTTACAGGTATGCCCTGCTGGTATATGTTAGTGTTCAATTCCACTTAAAGCGCCTCTTCGAAAATGCTACGGCGCCCCTTCCCTTTCTGTTTGTGCTGGTATACCGTTGAAGTATTTAAAGTGACCACAATACATGTACATCTACAAGAAAAAGATAGACTTTGCACGATTGTCAGGCCAGGCCCTCTCAAGATAAAGTGATGGTCGCGAACAGCCCGACCCGACTTCCCACCGTCTATAAGCGAGGCTTTAGCAGTAACGTACTATGCTACAAGCTTGCCTATTGTATCGGTACTTTATAATCTACGGTATACATACGGAACTGTGTGCACAACAAAAATATTTCAGATGACATGAAGACAGAAGAAGGGAAGAGGGCTGGACTAGCTTGCCTATGTGTAAAAGATTCGTACACAGGGGTTCAAATCCTGTGGCGAACTAGAAACTTTAAAAGATGTGGTAAAACAAATTTAATTCATTTATTTACTTATTTATTGGTTTGCTTTTTAATTATGGTCTCCCCTTGGGAACAGGTCTGATTTGAAATAAATTCAATTTCCTCTATTAATTTGTAGCTTTAAATACTCTTTAACGCACACTGCCGACATTAGTCACAAGCCTTGCTATCTGCTTTATACACAATGTGATTAACAAGGCCACTGCTTGCATTAGCATTTAATTTTAGAAGCCTAAAATGTATTATTAACAAGATCAGTACGGTACGGTTCCTTCAGTTAAAATTTTACAAAATGATTGAAAGACTGAGTTTTCAGTTCCCTTAAAACCCCAAAATATCGCACGTGCCGGTCCATGCCCAACAGGCTTTGGTTCATGTACGATCTGACCGCAGCTCCTCACTCCTTCGCTTGAAAAAGCGAGTGATCCCCTTGAAAAAATCCTTGATTGGCTGCTGTCCAGTCCGCACTGTCGACCCAATACTGTCACAACATATGCAACACTGAGCATCCATGGTCACGTGATCGAAAGGAACAAGATTTAATATCACGAGGTGACTACGTAGTTATTTCGTGTGCATGAAAGAGGTTGGATGCATTTGTCTAGACAGAAATAATACCCAACCTGTGTTGAGGAATAGTGAGAAGTACAATTAGGCAGCATGGAGGAGATATTAGCACTCCGTATCTTTAAGACCTTCGTGGGAATTGTCGGTATCTTAGGCAACGGTCTGGTGTGCATAGTCATCGGCAAAGTCTCGGCGATGCAGACTCGCACCAACGCCTTCATCTGTCACCAGGCTGTCGTAGATCTACTTGGTGCAACCATGATTCTTCTGCAAAGCGAAGCGCCGCTGCCGGACCCCGTGCCAAACGATGCACTAGGGTGGATAGTGTGCCACGTCTGGTTTTCCAACTTTGTACTTTTTCTTCTGTATGTGATATCCACATTCAACTTACTGTCACTGACCATGGAGCGATATTTTGCCATCGTTCACCCGTTCAAGTACCAGAAAGCCTTCGCCAACCATCCCCGGCTAAAAGTCGGTGCAGTCATGGCGGGATGTTGGGTGTTTGCCACTGTTATCAAGTGTTACAACCTCACCATCTTCAAGGTGAAAGACGGGGCGTGCGCTTCCAGTGCTGAGTATCGGTCGAAAGTCATAGGGAGCTTGACGGCCATCCTTCAGTATGTGGTGCCCGTGGCAGTGATGCTGTTTGCGTACATTCGCATCGGTGTAGAGCTCAAGCGAGGAGCTGCTCGGGTTGGACCTGCACCAGCGGCTGCCAGTGGTCCTGCTACCGGAGCATCCGCAGCGGATACCTCCCAACCGGCAGGCATGGTGGAATCCCTGCTCCGGGCCCGACGCAACACTTTCAAGATGCTATGGATCGTGTTCGTCACGTTCCTTGTGTGCTGGACTCCGAACCAGGTGATCTTTCTCATGTTCAACCTCGGCTGGACGCTGCAGTACGACGAGTGGTACTATCTGCTGTCTGTGGCGATGGTAGCCGCAAACTGCTGCGTTAATCCGGTCATCTACGCCTTCAAGTATCGCCAATTCCGTAAGGGGCTGCGGGAGGTGTTTTGCCGCGGACGTATAAACCGCGAGAACCCGTCAAATTCAGCAACATTCACGCAAACCACACGATGAACTTCACAGAGGCATTATTTGATCATCACCGTCCAGGCTTTCCCTCGGACATCTGAAGGGAAAAAAAACAATTGCAAGTATCTTGCAAACTAGTCAATCTAAGGACAAAAAGCTAATTATGAGTATTTTCTCTGCACTGCACGTTAAGAATTTAACTGTTAAAATGTATTACCAGGACGGCATATTACAAAATGAAAATTATAGGTTTACACTAAACTTAGAAAGATTGCTTCAAAAATTGTTTGGTTTTGATGGAATTCAATGTCCATTAAAATTATATCTGAAAAAATGTAATCATTGTATATGACACATGCTGGATAAGGTTTGAGATGTTTGTTTGTTAACCGCTGTAGAAGTTCCACGGAGATATTCGCTCACCTTTCGGGATATTTAAATAGGAACAGTTCCGAAAAGGCGCCCCACTGCTTCAAACTTTTCCTTGTGATGTCACCACCAAAACGAAGATCGCTATGAAAAATGACCGCGATTCTAAATGCCGAAAGGTGGGTTATGGTGCAATGATTCAGAATAATTATATAGAGCGTTCATCGTGCGCAGTTTCAAGTAAATTGATGCCGCGACCCTGCGGCATTGGTAGGATTCGATGCCTCAGATTAGAGTGTTTCAAAAGCGAAGATTGTTCTTCATTTTTGTTCCCATGCATGCACATGCATGTTCCATTTCTACATAGATTGGACTACTCATATTTAAGGCATATCTTATGTAGACACTTCTATACGTACGTTCCCTTATATGACAATGGCGTTTCGCAGTTTCTCTTGAATAATTCTTGCCACAAAGGTTATTTCAGTATTAGGGGAAGGAATGCGGCAGACGGTATTCCATTAGCCTAAGGTTTTCGTCCCATGATATTGCTTGGTGAAGGAAAAAAATTACGGAAGCGTATAAGGGCCACTTGCAACATTTTTTTTCGAGTCACTGTCTCTCTGGGGGTTTTTTTGTACTCACCCCACAGGAGCGCCATTACGCGCAAAAATATGCTGAGTACGTGTAACTACGTCACTTAGAACCAGTAAATGCCGTACAAACGAACTGGTTCACGAGCTGGTTCTTGCGCTAATGCCTTTTACACACAAGATTGGGCGTGTGACGTAGTCACTCCGATGCTGTACTCTATGGTCTTTGCGTATACGCAGAACGCGTGCAAGAACCTGAGGGGCCAATATCATAGAGCTGCTTAAGCACAAAATTTGCTTAAACGGGAAAAAACTCTGCTTAGTAAACAATGGTTACCAGATAAAACTCTATCTGATTGTCATGCTAGCCAAAAAACAGCTAAGTACAATCTCAAAACATTATACATCGCATGGAATTTTGGCTGGTTACCTGATTTATCAAGCAAGGTTTTCAAATTTTGTGCTTAAGCAGCTCTATGAAATTGGCCCCTGCTTGTAACCACCAGTCTTTCTTTTCGCCGGTTGGGGGTGCACTTCAGCTCGGGGCGGATTATCTAGCCGTGGCGAGTTAAATTGTTGAATGTGTATCTTGCCGCAGCAAGTTATATGATCTTGCCGCGGAGTTAAATTGAAATCCCGCGGCTTGAAGTACTTCAGTAGTTTCACAAATCTTATTTAACGTGCCGTCTTACTCAGATGTTTAATCAGGGTGGAATGCAGTGAAATTGGGCTTCAGATTGATTTAAACAACCTTGATTCAACCAACACAAAAGGAAACTAACGAAATATGTTTTGGTGGTATTAATTTCCATATCAAGAAGTGGTATAGACTACTTTAACTCCCTCGTAGACTGCCTGTTGAAAGGATTACGGCGCCTTTTCATTTATACTTTAAACAATCCTATTTACGTAGGGGCCGCGAGGGGGAACCCTGAAAAGAACGGGAAAAAAGAAAACAGCCAAAGAAATGAAATAGAATATAATTATTTGCTGGAGAAAAGAAGAAAATCGACCCTCTTCTCGCAGTTAAATGTTATTGTTTTAACAAGACGGTTCGCCCCCTCCCCCGCCGAAACAAAATCTTGCGACGCCCATTCAACTTTTTAGCCAGTGTTGTACGTGTTGGGAACAAACCTCAATGTTGATATCATTCTCACATTAAAATCTGCCATGATTTAGGAGATTTCAATAGTCAAAAAAAATGAAGTGAAGGTGAAAGGGAAATCAACACACACTTTTTTATCAACTGGATCAAAACCCCCAGCTTCTTTGACCTCACGTCCATACCTTCACTTGTCACAAACTACCCACACAGCGCTGAGCGTTGGGAAGGGCAAATGCATAACATATATTTTGCCGAGAACTTACTGGATGGAGTCTATTAACATCGAAACACGGGTCGACACTTCTGGCTCGGTGGGCATGACGCGTGTACACTTATACTATAAGTATTAGGGCACTAAGTAACCTAAAATGCTTTGAGTGTCCAAAGCTGTGAGTTATTTCATGCATTGCCTTCGTAAAAGTTTTGTTTTTATCTCCATTTTAAGTACTATAAATTAATAAATTTCGACTGATGAAAGTTCAACTGTAACTTTCAAGGACGCTTGCCTTTGTATGGCATTGGAAAGTATAGGAATGAATTAAAAACAGTTTGTCCCTCATCTGAATGCGGAAATTCACACCACAAAATAAGATTTTGTTTTCTTTTCTGTTGGAAAACAAGCAAGGTTGAAATGTAACATCTTTTTTTGTTCCAATTAGCAATCTAAAACCAAATCTCAATGCATTTCACCCTAAAGATACATTAGAAAACGTCGCGCTGAATAGGACTTATCAAACTATTGAGATATTCGCTGTGGCTGGATATCAATTTGACGCCGCGGGAAAATCTTATAACTCGCCGCAGCGAGATAGTAATTCAAAAAAAAAATTGCAAGTGGCCCTTATACGCTTCCGTGGAAAATACAACCATACCTATAGTCTACAGGATTATTACCTTGGAAGTTTTTGCACAACTAAATCCCCGGGAAACACCGCTAGACCCTCCCGATCGTTTCCACGTGGGGAAGTATCAGAAAAGACATAGGGACTACCTACCGGTTTTTCCAAGAAATCCCGCCTTTCAATATGCACGTTATTGATCCGCTCGGTACATCAGCAAGCGTTAGCCGCGTTTGAATCTCCACATGTGCAAATTCAATGAAAACTCTCTAACTTACACGGACACAAGGCTCCCTGAAAACGCGTTTATGAAAGATTCTTTAAACTGTCATTGCATATGAGCAATGTAGGATTTATAAATTTTCCAAATTTTGTAATAGTTACGGGAATAATCTTTAAACGGGATTCTTACCGCAAAAATATTACAACATTTTAATGTTTTTTTTTCTGAGAGCGCGGTTTTGTGATGAGTTCTTTTGGAGGAACTGTTATTCACGCTATTTCCAATAGAGAAAGTACCACATCTAACGTATGTTTAACCTTTGGAAAAGTTAATTGTTTCGTTCCTTCACACACAATAACATTTGACTCTGCATACGAAAGGAGATGACTGCTTCATGTTTTGCCATGTAAGGGCACTGCAGTAAAATGGCATTTACGGTATTTTTGTCAGTGGGTAATTTTTCGACGCGCTTTGTGGGAGTTCTATTTGACTTTTGAGTTGTTTCATGAGGAAGCGCCCTTTGTGTAGACTTTTAATAGTACGACAGACCATTTCAGACGGTGCGGTTTTGTGGTGAATTCCGACCTACGAGCTTTTGTTGTTGATATTCACAACATGCCCGGTAGCCTACCATTATAGCTAACACATTTTAGGTAACTTCGTTATTCAATATTCTTGTGAAAGTTGTTTTGTTAAATTAATCTTACACACACAATCAAAATTCTGAAATGCATTTATAGCAAGCGACTGGCGACTATAGCGACTGGCGGAAAGCATCTGTCCTTGGTAAGAACTTCAGAAGTACTCATACAAACGAAAGAAGATAATTGCTTGATGCTTTGCCGAGGGCATTGTAATGAAATTATTACCTCTACGGGTAGGCCTATTCCTTTCATTTGTCAGTGGGCAACTTTACACCGAACTTTGTGAGCGGCAATAATTTATTTGATTTGTGAGTTTTGTTGTTGGAAGCGCTCTTTGTATCGATTTGCGTGCAACAAACCACAACTTTTCTGATCCACACAGCGCAAACAGTTCTACAAACAGTTTGGCCTTTAAGTGAGCCAAAATGCAAAACACGTTAAAATGTGATTACAAGATGCCGGTCGGGAAATAAACCCTGTCATGTCATTTGTTGTAATCTAATTTGACTTAAATTTACACTGTAAACTAAAACCTGTAACAAAATTTGAGGGGCTCTGAATTCCGGAAGGGAAGAATATTTTGCTTTATCAGAGAGATAAGTAATTACCTAATCTACACATTCCCCATCCTCCTCCGCCACAATACTCTTTTGTTCCTGTTTGAACGCTGTGGCGTAACAGAGGCGTAATAATTGTTTTATTTACTTTGCATTTTGCACTTGAGAAGAACACCGCCAATTGAAAAACAATCATTTCATTGCTGAAACTATGAAATAACTCTCTACTTTATATAAATAACTCTCTTATACATAAAAATATAGTTATACAAATAACTCTCTACGTTATGTAAATTTCAAATCGTACATAGTCACTTCTACAATAAACCAGTTTTTCAAATGCATGATGGTTGATGTACATTTGTGTTAATTTGTATTGCACGATAAAGAGAAAAAAGTTCCAACGTAATACAATTGTGTATAAACCTTACTTTGAGTTTGATCAGATTCAGTAACATTTCATATCTGAATTGATTCAGCCAAAAATCTTCAAGCCAAGTACAGTGTCATAGAGCTTGTGACTTAAAGCTAATCTCTGAACGTACACACTTTTGATAACTAATTAACCATGTTGATTAGACCAAGATGGATTTCGTGTTTTTGGTATCTTCTGTGTTAAAATTAATTTGTTCAAAGTACCCCCCGTATTAGAAATTGACTTATGCTATTTCAGGAGATCGTATCTTGATCCTATTTGTTAAAGGAAAAGACGAGCAATTTTGACGATACCGAAATGCAACAACAATCAAAGAGTCAATCACTAATACGATGGAATTTGAAAGCATTACATGTATCATTTTTCCTTTTATAACAAGAAACTAAATACAGGTGCATGATTTTACACTCCCAGAAGAAAAAGGGTAAGAGTTACTACAACACATCTGACA